TCTGACCTCTACTCTATGTAAGGAACCTATTTACCACTACAAGGTAAATTGCTCCTGTTTCCTGGCACTTCCTGAGACCTGCCACCCTGAGCTGTTCTGCCGTATTTCTGGGACATCACTGTACTTCCTACACCAACAGTCTCTGCTCCATTTTACCCTCTTGTTCCCAGATCATACAGTTTTTTGCTTGTTGCTTTGTAAAATATCCAGGAACAAAGGAAGGAAATTGCCATCTCATACTGCCAAGTTTACCAAAAAAGTCTCAAGGCATTTTTTTTAAAAATAAAAATACTTTAAGTACAATTTCATACAGAAAACAGACTTACTTCAAGAGCTCATCTCTTTCTGTCTTCCTTGCAAACACTATATCACTGCACTTGTTCTGGAACCTGACCAGGATTTCAGTCAGCTCGTTGTAAAACTATAAGCAAAGAAGATCAAATATAAGTACTAGACCAGGACAATTTTTTAATTTAAGGAGGAACACAACTTAAAGCTCATTTGTCACTAATGGTAAAACTGAAGAACTAAAATCTTCTGCACAAGACACAGTCATGCTGCTTAAGTCTAACAACTTAACATTAAATATGAGCTAAGACTCCTAAAGAAAACAAAAATAATAAAATCACTTTTAGAGAACACTGTCACCAAAAATTAAATGGCAACAAAAGTTGCAGCATCACAAATGTTTTCCCATTCCTGACACACCAGACCTATTTCATCAGANAGAGAACACTGTCACCAAAAATTAAATGGCAACAAAAGTTGCAGCATCACGAATGTTTTCCCATTCCTGACACACCAAACCTATTTCATCAGGACTACATCTGCACATTCACTTCAGAAACAAAAGCATCACTGCAGAAGCCCTTAGAATTCTTTCCAGAGGGTTTCTGGAGAGTTTTCTCCACTTACCTATTTCAACAAAGCATTTTAAACCAAACTAAAATGACATTTTACTACCTTCTTTATTTTGAAAGGCCCTGCAGTATTTCTACCCTCTCTTCAGAGGGTTTTACATTATATCTACTGTATTTACCTCAAGATAACTTTACTCAATGATCATTATGGAGTTAAAGTACCAAAGGAGTAATCTATCTGAAAAACTTAAAGATTTCTTGTTCCCTCATAAGCAAAGTAATTGGTAAAAACAAATATAAGCCTTTCTCTAAACTCTTTAAAGGGTACTTAAAACATGTTTAGTAAGCACTCTGAGACTCAGATCACACGTCTCTCATCCAAACCATTAGCACAGAATATAAAAGCCATACCTGCCCACCTTCCCCACCATGTATCAGCTGTTTCCTCGTAATTCATTCAAACTGGCCAACTTTCCACCCTACCCCACCCCCTGAAAGTGTCACTGGCTTTTGATATCTTTGGGCTAATTCCTGCTACATCAAATACCTAAACCCCTTTCTGCCACGTGAAATACACAATTCATCAAAGTTCCCATGAAATGTTTCCACCTTCATTAAGCTCTTCTAACAAACTTCTCAAAGGCAAAAGTCATTAAAGCTAACAAATTCAAGGCAAAAAATAATTTGGTCCAACTAGAAAAACACAATTAACTTCCCAGACTATATAGTCACATCTGTACTGGACAGTTACTGTTTCTTTCGTATACCATACCTTTGTGCCCTCCTTCAAATTAGCTACAAGTTCAACAAAGCTGTCATATGCAGCAGCTAAATTCTTCAAAACTTCTTCTCTTAAGTTAGCTTCATTGTTAGATTGTTTCATTTTCGAAAACTCCTGATGTGAGACCTTGTTAAAAGAAACATTATGCATTTACATTTATCAAATTAACACAGCTTCTAACATTTATATTGATACTTTTCAAACTATAAAAATTATATATGATTACATGCAGGAATTACTAGAAATTTACCAAATATTTCTTTTGGGGTAGCACTGTGCTTTAAATCTTTCCTTAAGTAAAAATACCACAAATTCAGTGTGTGATAAAACAATCAATAATGATTACAGATTTCTATTAATATGTACACTTGCAAAAAAAGACAATCCTAAATGAACATAGATTTAGACCAGGCTTATCCTCTCTTTTTTAAAACATAAATCTTATTTAAAGTATATGAACTCCACCTGAATATTTTTAAGAAGTCCTTCCTGTTTCTTTAGAGATTCTTGGACTTTAGTCGTAAGACCTCCATAGATTCGATCCAGCTCAGAAACAGAAAGAGCTTCTTCATTTATCACACCATCTTGAGCCAGAGCAGTCAAGAATTTGCTTGTCATGTCAAAATTCACAGATTTCAGGTCATTCTCTAGACCCTCTCTTTCCTTCTTTACTTCATCAAGATTTGTCAATAAGGATTTTAATACATTTACAACCTTGAAAGAAAAAAAACACCACCTTAGTTTAATTGCAAAAAAAAAAACAGAAGCAGATTTCGAGAAGGGATTTATATACAAAGGTTCATCCAGGGTCAGGAAGAGATGATTTCTCAGAGAGCCAAGTATAAATTGCACGTAAGATTTATCTAGATATAGACTCTGTACCATTGGTGTACTTAGACTGTAACAGCAGCAGTAACACCAGCAAAAGCTACAATTTATTGGCATTCATTATATACCAGGCACTGTCCTAAATACTTGATAAATGTAATTTAATGTATTCCTTATAATACCCCATAGGATATATATTTATTACTTCTGTTCCCTGGATGGAGAAATTGAGTCTCAGAAAAATTATGTAACATGCCCAAGGTTACACAGATACTAAGGGGTAGAGGTGAAATTTGAGACCTCAGTCTGCCTAACTCCAAAACCAATCTCTTATCCACTCTACACTATACAGTCTACCTCTCATGAGGTATGGGAAAGTGAATTTTTGCCAAGTAAGTAGATACCCTATTTGCCAATAGGAAAATTGAGAGGTAGAGATACATATGGAAAGAGCATGTTAGATAAGGAAAGAGAAAGAGAGATACAACAGAAGCTGTAAGTCATGTTTATTTCATATACTGGGAGAGAAAGCACTTCTTGTGCATCTCTTCATATAATTAAGGATTTTATCTCTCTTATTCAATCCAGGGAGTCTCTTACTTAATTCCACATGATTCAAAAACACCCCTTTATAGTCTTAGAGTGTTCAAGTGCCCTCTAATGCCACTTATAAACTACCCTCTGTCACTCACATCTCTTCATACTTTGGCCAGGACCACCAGGGGGAACACCAACCCCAATTCCCCTATCTGCCTGCCCCAATGATGCTCATAAAAAAAAAAAAAAAAAAAATTTTTTTTTAAAGCTGGAGAAAAGTCAAGGGAAGAAGGGGACATCCATGAACCCCAGCTACATCCCTGTTACTTCTTACCAGCAGTCCAACTCCAATGGATTCCCCAACCCCCTTTAGGGATTTAGGTTCTGTACACATTCCACTATGCAGTCTTCTCTTTACTTTGGGGGCTGGTTTCCACTGAACCTCTAGTAGCTTCTTCTGGACACACCTACTCACTCAATCCCTGAATCCTATATGGGTTCACTTTTTCTGCCTTTTTACTCTGTTCTCATAATGTGCCAACTTCTTAAGAAGTCTCTTAAGAGAGGAGCTCCAAAATGCTGGAATTTAAGTACTGTGTCATCTAAATCCCCACAGTATACTTCTACAGCTACCACACTTAAGTTTCTACCCTGTATTAAAGTTATCCTTGTATATGTCTAATCTTTGACACTGGACTGTAAATGGAGGGTAAAGGCTCTGTTTGATTCATTTGTTAATTTTTCAAAATACCTTGCACAGATTAGATATCAAATAAGTCTTGGTTGAGTAAATACATGAAATGCTTCTGTGGAAAGACAAATAAGGAACAACACTGATAACTGTTAAGATGTACTGTCCCAGGAAATTCATCTTTTTCAAGTTTTCAGAAGTATTTCTTGCCCTTTGGCTGATTTGCCTGTGTACTTCAGGGCCTCTACCCTCTCCTACTACATTATACCTCATCAGATACTAAACCGTACTTGCACTTTCTCCACTTTTAGGACTTTCTGAATCAGATGCCCCGTTACTGATTTTCTCCTTCCTGTCAACAACAGAGAGGCCATATTGATGTCACCCATTTATTAATATGCACACCTTGTCAACTTCCCTTTCAGAGGCAGTCCCGGTAGAACGTGGTGGAACGTGGCAGAGTGTGGTGGAGTGTGGTGGAACGTGGTGGAGTGTGGTGGAGTGTGGTGGAACGTGGTGGAACGTGATGGACTATGGTGGAGTGTGGTGGAACGTGGTGGAGTGTGGTGGAACGTGGTGGAACGTGACGGACTATGGTGGAGTGTGGTGGAACGTGGTGGAATGTGGTGGAGTGTGGTGGACTATGGTGGACTATGGTGGAAGGCAGCACAGAGCAATGTAAGCAGCACGGAATCTGTGGTCAGAGAGTATCTAGCCAAACCAGTCCTTCCACTTCAAGAAATTTTCTCCCTTTTATAAAACCTTCATTAAATACTATCCATCAAAGTGAAACATAATTCCATAAAAAAAAAATTTCAACTCCATAGGGAGTATCTAGAATATAATACCCAGCTCACGGGAAGTATTCAATAAATGAGAATTATTATTACAGGACAGTAATGGTACTAGTATAATTACCTACTACTCAGTGTACATATCATGCTACTTTAAATAGTACCACCTCAGTTAACATCTGCATTTTTTAAAAGATGTCAACAAGAAAGAAATCGGCAATTTGTTGTTTATAATAGCTTAAACATAGTTTTCGTAAACAGATGACCAGCCATAACAAAATGCATCTTCTTACCTCGCTGCCCTGCATGGTCTTTGCTGGGTTAGCGGAAGGGATAGCAGCATTCAGCTCAGGCTCTGGCTTACACAAAAGTGCAATGGTGTCACGGTGCGACTGATATCGCTCCTTCACCAGTCCATCTGCTTGCAAAGCTTTATCCAAAACTGCTCTGAAGTTGGTTCCCTCTGTGGGAAAAAGAATGTTATCAGAGGAAAACACTGACTTTAACAGTAATGTTTATCGGTTGGCTGTACTTTGTTTTGTTCTCCTTCTACAGGCCCCAATTTTTGTAATTAAATTTCAGCATTTTGAAGCTCCTCTCGAGAGGCTTCCTTTTCCCCCTTTTATAGGCTCCACTTGATAACAGAAACTTAATATAAACTCAGTTCCTGTCAATCTTTCCATTTTTGTTTTTGAAAAACCAAATATAAAGCAAAAGCACAGTTCTACCTTAAAATACATTTGTGGTGACTGTCCACCAAATAAAAGCTAATTGACTCATCTTTTCCCACAACTCATGAATATAAAAAGAAATCATTCATCCCCCAAACTGTTACAACTTAAAAAGTATTTCTCTTTCAAAAGACCACTGCTTCAAACTGACTTAACAGGAGATATATTTTAAGAAGAATCTCAATAGCATTAATTCCTTTTACAGAGATAAATAAAACAAACCTCTAGCTACTATGAAGACATCATTTATCTTAACAAGAACAAAATCTTAACCAAAGTTTTCAAAATAAGAATTTCGCTTCAAATTAACTGTTAAAAATCATCTTTTACCATGCAGGATTCAAGTAAAATGAAATTATAAAACCATACATATAATATGATCTCATTTACGTTTATAAAATATGCACACAGCTGGAATAGAAAAAGTTATAGGATCAGTTTAATTTTCACTTTATACTCTTCTCAAGAACCTGAACATCCTATAATGAACATGGATTCTCTGTTATATTTTTTTATCTTACACCTGGGTTATTATAATAGCAACAGTTGCAGTAAAAACGTTTACAGTTGAGCCTAATTCAATCAAGCAAACAGGTGGATCCAAACTGAGACTTTATTCACATGGAGGTCATTTATGCACATTTTTACCTGCTCTCAGAGGCTTATAGAGCTCACTGGATGCTGTCCTTTGCCACCGCTCCTTGAATTTTGCTCTTAGGTCATTGTCAGTGGCTTCTTCTTCATCCAACAATCTTAATGACTTATAAAGAAAGCAAAGCAATACTGAGATACCACTTCTGGTGTAAAAATTTTAAGCATTTTTTAAATGATCACACTCAAAGTACATAAGAATCCATGAGATAGGACTAGTCTTACATTATTGGTTAGAATATAAACTGGTAAAACAATTTTTATTGCAAAAATTCATGTTATAATATATTTAACAAAAAGTCTTATAAAACTGAGGGCCAGGCGAGCCATTATTTTACCCAGTAACATTAAAAAGAATAAGATTATGTACATCCATATGCCAAGGCTACTTTCAACAAAGATTGTTTTTACGATAAAATATAACACACTGAAAATTAACATATAAGAAAATGCATGCCTTTTTAATGCATAGCTGAAGACAGGATAGCAGGGGGCCAGAAACACAAGTAGAACCAATTGATGAGTGGAAGCAAGTGTTAGAGCCAATGCTACCTGCTAATCCCTGGCAGCTCAGAGCAGAGGTCTGCACTTTCCTATCAAACACTACAGTAAATATTTTAGGCTTTGGGGGCCGCAGTCTCTGTCACATATTCTTCTTTCTTTTTTTATACTCCTCTTAAAATGGTAAAAATCACCCTTCACTACTGAATCACACAAAACAGGCAACAAGCCAGAATTAGCCCACCATCCTTAGTTCACTACTGGCATAGAGTATGAATTTAACAGAAATGAGCAGACATAAGAAACTTCGGTGGGGCTACTAAGAGTAGGAGGTCAAGTCAAAGGAGCTATCCTCCCTCACACTGGGACACTTCCAAATGAGTGGCGGTCAGTGGATGAACTTTTAACAGGAAAACTCCCCAACAGAAGGAAATTTACCTGTATGAACCTTGGCTCTAAATAGAAATAAAAAGTATCACCTAAGATTCCTAATTAAAAGCCTGAATTTAGGGCTGTAAATCACACGACCTATAAGACACAAAGTCCTAAGATGAACTTCTAATTAAAAGATTAATCACAAAATAAAAACCTTCAAGTTTAAAGAGGTGTTAGGTATATAATGCCTTTTCATAGCAGACACAAACAAAAATTCTCTCTAGAAGTCGTCTCTTTTAAACCCAGATCTCAAAGAATTCCTACAAATAAAGGTCCAGGATGTGAATTCACAATAAAATCATTGAACATCAAATACAATGTCGTTTTCTGGACTGGATCTTAAAGCAGAAGGGGGACGTTAATGGAATAATTGGTAAAGCTGGGTAATGATATTGTACCAATGTTTATTTCTTCATTGTCACAAATGGACCATGGCTACATAGGCTTTAACTTTTAGGGAAGCTGCGTGAAGAAGCTCTCTGCACCAAATTTACAACTTTTCTATAAATCTATAATTATTCCATATATAATATTTCCTGGACAGGAAGAAGTAAAACTATCTCTACTTGCAGATGACATGACCTTATATATGGGAAATCCCAAGGAATCTGCAAAATAACTATTAGAGGTAATAAACAAATTCAGTGAAGTTGCAGAACACAAAATCAACATACAAAATCAGGTGTGTTTCTACACTCTAGCAATGAACCACCTCAAAATGAAAATTAAGACAATTCATTTATGACAACGTCAGAAAGAACAGAATACTTGGGAATAAAGTTAATCAAGAAGGGGCACAACTTATATGCTAAAAACTCCAAAACATTGCTGAAAGAAATTAAAGAAGCTTAAATAAACGAAACAACATCCCGTATTCATGGACTGAATATTAAGATCAGCAGTACTCCCCAAATCAATCCAAAGATTCAAGGCAATCCCTATCAAACTTCTAACTTTAGGATTTTCTATATATAAGATCAAATCAAAACCACAATGAAATACCACTTCATATCCACATGAATGGCTACAATTTAAAAAAACAACTATAGGGATTGTCAAGGATGTTGAGAAACTAGAACCTTCATACACTGCTGTAAGAAAACACTGCAGCTGCTCTAGAAAACAGTTCAGCAGCTCCTCAAAAAGGTAAACATAAAACTACTGTATGACCCAGCAACTTCACTCCTTTGTATATCTACCCAGGAGAACTGAAAACAGGTGCTCAAACAAAATATACAGAAATAGCAGCATTATTCAAAAAGTGAAAACATTCCAAAATCTATCACTGACGGTTAAACAAAATGTGGTACAGCCCTACAATGGAATGTCACATTATGCATAAAAAGAAATGAAGTAATGACACTACGACAAACCTTGAAAACATGCTAAATTAAAGGCAAACTCAATCGGCCCCGTAATGTTTACGATTCCATTTATACGAAATGCCCAGAATAAGCAACTCCATAGAACCAGAAATCAGATTAGTGGCTGTCAAGAGCAGGGGGAAGGGAGAGTAACGAATGACTGCTAATGGTACAGGATTTCTTTGTGGGGTGATAAAAATGTTCCGAATTTAGAAAGTGTTGATGCCCATGCAACATTGTGAATATACTGAAAGCCACTGAATTGGACACTTTAAAGAGATTAAAATGGTAAATTTTATGTTATGTGAATTTTACCTAAGAAAACAACATGTAATTGTGAGATAAATACACATGATTTTTTAAAAGAACCAATTAGATATCTTAGAAATGAAAAATATCAAATAAAATTTTCTTTTTTAAAGTCCATAGAATGGCTGGAGAATGCAAAAGGCACAGCTAAAGAGCTAATTAATAAGCTGGAAGGCGAGCCTGACAGTCTCCCGGAAGAACAAGCGCACAAAGGGAAAAAGAAACATCAAGAGACATGAGGAACTGTTCCCAGAAACCCCACTACCAATTTAAGAGAAATCCATTAGGCCATCATGGAGAGAACAGAGAAAAAGGAGTAACTTAAGAAACAGAATCCAGGGACAGGAATCTAAGACTAAAAAGACCCAACAGATCTCAAAGCAGGATAAGCTCATTATTTAAAAATAAATTAGTGGACTCAAAACTTTTAAAATACAAAAATCTAAATTTCTAAAAGCTACCAGAGAAATGAATACTCACAAGGAGTACCAACTTCACAACCTACTTACTCCACAACTTATTTAAAATGAGACTCTCCAAGTGCAAATGACAGTAATAGTGACTCTAACTCACAAGGCTGTTACAGAACATCAAATAAGATAAATAAAAGTATCTCCTATTAAGAGAGGTAGACAACAGACATATCATAAACAATAATGCCAGTTTTTCCTTAATTATAACGTGAGCTTTTTTTCCCATTAATATTTCTCATATAGATGCTCTTCACAATTGATATATAGTATTTNACAATAATGCCAGTTTTTCCTTAATTATAACATGAGCTTTTTTTCACATTAATATTTCTCATATAGATGCTCTTCACAATTGATATATAGTATTTCATTGGGCGATGTTCTTTTTCCTTAAAACTTATTTCAAAATAAAATATGCATCTTCCAATCAATGAGATGTTAAAAATCAAAGAAATATAGTAATACTTAATATTTAAATAACTAACAACTAACGAGCACATGTATGATCCCACTCCACAACTATATTATGTGCTTAAATACTATTATCTCCATTTTTGGATGAATAAACTGAGACATAAAGATGTTAAGTAATTTGCCCAGCATCACAGTTAAGAATAAGAACTGGGAATCCAGTCTAAATATAACTCCACATTCAGAGACCCTAGCAACTCAATTATGTGTAAAATAATAAATATTAAATAATGATTTATTATACCTTCTACTGACTGAATGCTCCAGACTGCGTCCCATTTGACTTGCTATGCCTGCATTTTCCAGTGCCTACCCTCCTCACTATCAACTGCTGCTTGCTGCTTTCACTTAGGTGCAGTCCTGAACAGCACTCTCCACTTTTTCCTCCCTATGTCTATCTACTATTCTAATGTTCTTTCAATTGCAAAAACAGATAGCAAGCTAATTGGACCCACAAATCAATACATTTTAAAGGACTATAAGGTATCCTCACGAATAAAGTCTACTATGACTTTAACAGCAGTGTTTGTCAAATGTTAACCTGAACACAAACCACCCTTGGATCTCACTAAATGCAGATCCTAATTCAGTAGTCTGGGTAGAGTTCGAGATTCTGCATTTCTGACAAGTTCAGCACAGGAAGGCTTCCGTACTGAACTATGTAACACCAACTCTGTTTGCTTAGTTCTTCTGATTATTGACTGTATCTACTCTACACAGGTCAGGCCAATAATGCTGACTATAAAATAAATGCAGAAGCTCTCATCAGATGGTCTAGGCCAATAATGCACCAATTTTCCATTTAAGTTTCCTAATCTTTCTCAATAGCTAACTTGCACTGAAAGGTGTGTAACTACCATCAACTTGATCAACAGTCTGGATGCTTCCCTGTTCAGTATCAGTTACATCATATCACTTCCAGTAACTGCAATATTATCATCACCATAGTAATACAAGAGTATAGTACTAATAGCTGTAATTTATTAAGCATATACTGGGTATCCCATAGGCTAGACATTTCACTGTTTTAGTTTAGTTCAGCCTTTAAATAAACCTGGGAGGTAAATATCCTCATTCCCAAGGTTCACACCATCATAAGTACTGAAGTGCTATAGCCCTGCCCCAAAGTACTTGGAAATGATGTAAATACAACATCCTCTGAAAGTTCACTGAAAAATCAGAACATCAGGGATGAAAGCATTGATAACAAAAGTCACCTAAGAGAGACTTGACTCCTAAACTGGCAAAAGCCAATATAACCAAATTAAATATATTTATAGCTGAAGAAAGAAATTTATCAATTAGAGGAAAGAGGTAAAGACACAGTAAAAGGAGCATAAGCCAAAAAAACGTAGTGTTCCATTCCTGTGGATAAAATGCCCTCTCTACTCGAAGATGGATGCAGTGGGCTTAGAAACATTTGATAGCTAACTTCCTCTGTTTGATTCCATGTCACTAAGAAACCCTCTCTTTAATATAAAAAAAAAGCATTAATTATGAAGACTTTGAACAGTTTGTGTGATACTGATTCCTCAGAGTATACTAGTATTACACAATGGTCATATGAGTTTCATTAATGTCCATTTATATACCCTTACAGACATGTATGAACCTATTCTCACTCAATCGAAATTCTTCTTGAAGCTGAAGGTCAAGCTCTAGACCACAGTAAATTCACCAAGATGATGAGCACTTCCCTGTGAAACCTAATGGGAGGGAGCCTCCGGTACTAATCCCTGCTGGGCACCAAGGAGTCAAACTGTTTTTATTTAAAAGGCAAATCTCTTGAAACATACCTCATCTAGGATTTCTCTATTTCTTTGTAGTAGTTCAGGTAGCTCTTTGATCAACTGATCTACAGTCTGGATGCCTCCCTGTTCAATCACAGACGTGGACTTAGTCAATATAGACTGAGGTACGGTATCTCCAGATACATCTTCAATTGCTGCTGGAAGATTAAGGGAAGCTAACACCCTAAAAAAATGAAATACTATGTTATGCAAAAGTCTAAACCACCTTTTTTTTTTTTAAATATATCTTTATTGATTTCAGAGAGAGGAAAGGAAAGGGACAGAGAGAGAGAGAAAAACACCAATGATGAGAAAGTCATTGACGGGCTGCCTCCTGCAAACCCCCGACTGGGGATTGAGCCCACAACCCAGGCATGTGCCCTGACCAGGAATCGAGCCCCGATTGCCTAGATGCTAGGTCAACGCTCAACTGCTGAGCCACACCCAGCTGGGCTAAACCACCTTTAAAACATTATCTCTTATATCCAAATCAACAGCAATGGAGCTACCACCCCAAAAGTGGATAAGCCCTCTCAATAGAAAAATAAAGGGGGAAAAAGAAAAATCAGTGATTGATAAAATTAAAACAAAATCAGCCTGGCCAGCATGTCTCAGTGGTTAAGTGTTGACCCATGAACCAGGTCATGGTTCAGTTCCCCTTCAGGGCACATGTCCCCAGTAGGGGGCGTGCAGGAGGCAGCCCATCAATGACTATCATCATTGATGTTTCTCTCTCTCTCTCCCCCTCTCCCTTCCTCTCTCTGAAATAAAAAAATAAAATTAAAACAAAATCATTAAAGAATCAAATTATTTAGTTCACAGTTAAGAATTAAAAGCTAAAAAGTAAGAAATATACATTATACTATAATAAATACCTTTGGCGGACAATTCAAATTTAACTTCTTTCTAAATAATTAAAAGTCAAAATGTCCATCTTAAAAACTATAACCTTTTTATTATATTCCTGATTGTTATACTGTCACTGACAAATCAGAATATATAACACAGTTATAGTTTCATATCTTCTAGGCAAAATGTCAAGAGAACAAAGCTGATCTAAGTATTAATTACAAAATCTTCATCTGTTCTCAGTTTGCAGCACAGTAGCAATTATTCTTTATTTCATTTATATAATAAAGAGAATGTTAAACTTATGTTGTTTTCTTGCTAGAAAAAGAAAAATGAGGTCAAAATCCATGCATTCATCAAAATTAAAAGCATGAAAAAGCAAACGAAACTAGAAGAAAATATTCTGAATTACATATATCTGACAAAGAACTTGCCTCTAAAATATGTAAAGTTCTTCAAAGATTCATAAGAAGAAAAACCTCAGTTTTAAAAATTAGCAAAAGATTTCAACAGACACTTCACAAAAGATAAATGAATAATGGCTAATAAGCACATAAAAGAGTTGATCAACATCTTTATTAATTATGAGAATGCAAGTTAAATCACAATGAGACACTGGTAAACAAACTAAAATGGTTAAAATTAAAAAGACTCAATTAAAAAAAAAAAAAAGACAATACTAAGTGCTGATGAGGATGCAGAGCAACCGCATTTCTCAGGTGGGAACATAAATTGGAAAACAATCTGTCCGTTTCATATGAAGTTAAACATAACCAGCCATACAACTCAGCAATTCTAATCCTAGTTATTTACCCACGAGAAATAAAACATATCAACACAAAGATCTGTACATAAATGTTCTCATAGCATCAACAGTATGAAATGTCAGGTGAAAGAATAAACAAACTGATATTTGACCATAAAATGAAATACTGCTCAGAAATAAAAAGTATCAAACTGATACCCACAGCATATATAAATCTCAAAAGCATTATGCTAAGTGCAAGACACCCAACACATTATGAGTATACACTGTAGGTGCTTTACATACTGTATTACACACTGTAACGACAGTGCACTGTACTATATATGCTATAATATGTATATGCACATTACAATGACTTACATTAAGTTGTATAAAATGAAAAGCTAACCTACAGTGACAGGGAGCAGATCAGTAGTGCTGGGGGCCAGGGGAGGAGAAACTGAAGGGAAAGAGGCATGAGGGTGTATTTTAGGGTGATGGAAATGTTCTCTGTCTTGATCCTGGAGGTGGTGGTAGTTAAAACGGTATTCACATTTATCAATAAAACTGAACTATACATTTAAAACGGATGTACTTTACTGTATGAAAATCATACAATAAAATCAATGAATCCACCAGAAACAAACAGGTTCAGAATACTGAATATATCATGTATCTTAACTTAAAAAGTTCATTTCTACTTCTCATTCCCCTCAAATAAATATCCTCTAAAATACAAATTACCGGTCAAATAGGTTCACTTTCAGTAATTAAATTTCTTCCAACTATATTTGGTACAGCTTAATAAATAAAGTGTTCCCAAGAAGTGTGTGTGTGTGTGTGTGTGTGTGTGTGTCTATATTTGCTATTTCACTTATCTTTGACATTCAGCTCCAAGGTCAGAAAGTAAAATGTTGATAAACTATTTCACTAAAGATCAAACAGAAAAGATTAGAACTTTAGATATAAATTTACAAAAGGTAAACTCTACCTACCCATTTGCCAAATTGGTGGCTTCTCTCATTTGAGCAATTGATCTGTTAACTAAATCAGCTTTCCTCTGAGTGTAGGCAGCCAAAGCCTGCTGCACTGACACAGGAACCATCTTCTCAAACAGATCTGCAATCAGGAGTGAAAATTTCAACAAAATTTTGAGACAGAAACTCAAATTATAAAGTGACTGTTCATATTTCCTTTCCAATATTCATATAAAAGTCTACAAATACTTAAAGGTGAAATTAAATCACTACTGAAAGTACAACAGTGAAGAGAATTTTTAGATGGCTATGTTCATGGACAATGACAATGAAAGCTTTTTCTGTGAACTTAAGTTTACCTTTTAGATGTGTCTGTCATTGAGCTTAAGGAATCTTTGGTGAAGAGTTAAACATGAAAAACACTTCATTTGCTTTGGGCTACGGTGCCATGATTCAATTTCCAGCTCTTCCTAACTATACAACCTTGGACAAGTAAATTACTTAATCACTGTGCATCAGTATCCACATCAGTCATGAGGGGATAATAATAATATACTAGCCCACAGGGTTGTTGTGAAAAATAAATGAGTTAATATTTGTAAAGTGCTTAAAAGAGTGCCTGGCACATGGTAAACATTTTGTGTTTGGAAAACAGAACTAAGTAAAATAATCACCCTTTCCCAATAACAGAGTATTAATTATCCTTGGGATCTCAGCTACAGGCTACCATACATTGCATATATCTACAATATCCAAGGATATTATAACAGGTATTTATCTGATATAATAATGACTGCAGAATTTGATAGATTTGAAGTCATATTTATAAATGTTTATTTTTAATGGCAGAATCTTAAATAAGATAACAAATGTTGACAAAATAACAACTGCTTATTTAAAGTCTTTATCATTATTCAAATGAAATTTCAAGTTTTCTGACTGTTGTATACTTTACTATATGCTATACTGCCACTTACTTTCCATTTTAAAATTCTACTATAGACATAACAATTTTTATTCTCATATTCATTTTGAACAAAATGAATGCAAAGTATATTCAAAGTATACAACAGCAACTGTGTGATTTTGGGCTACAAAACAGAAACAGGTTAAACTGGAGAAAAGATCCCAAGTAAGATTAAACTCCATCTGAATACTTGACATACCAGTGAATTTTTGGCTAATGGGTACATTGACCGGGGTAGATTTCACAAGTGTAGCTTTGCCAATAGGATCTAGATCTTTGAGGTCTGGAACTCGATCATGATATATGAAGTCATTATCTTTCTTTGCTGCAGTAAGGGTACGGTTGATTTTGTCAGAAAAATCCTTCACATTGACATATTCATCATAGCGAGATGCCACTGTTTTAATCAATTCTGCTGCATGCTAAAAAGAAAATGTTTAAAAAATGTTACTTTTTCTCAACCAAGCACTGGTTTTATTAAAAACAAAACATAACAAAAAACCATAATTTGAGGATTTGCATTTCCAGCAATGTGGTCAACAGAATAACCTGGAAATTCTCCCATCACAAATTACCCCAAAAATGAAGAATAATACATAGCAGACATCCCTTTAAATACATGTGTGAATTACCAAGAAAATACAAGAAACCCCTGGGGCAATAAGTATAAATAGACATTGAGGAAGGCTGAATGCCTGGTGTTTCTGTAACCCAAAGGACTATCAATTGAAATGAATTTAAAACCCTCATGGAGACCTGATATGGGGTCTTGAAACTACATAAAGACAAAGAACTGAGAAACATCACTTTTACTACGTCACATGAAGGCAGGAACTTCAAAGGACTACACCCACAATGAAAGAATGACTGGCAAAAAATTACCCAGCAATATAGAAATTCAACAAAGAAACAAGCTGTCTCAGCACCAATAGAAAATTTGTTTTAAAAAAAAGTTTGCATGGTGTGGCTCAGTTGGTTGGGCATTGTCCCGAGCACCAAGAGGTCACTGATTCAATTCCTGGTCAGAGCACATGCCCGGTTTGTGGGCTCGATCCCCAGTAGGGGGTGTGCAGGAGGCAGCTGGTCAATGATTCTCTCATCAATGATGTTTTTATCTCTCTGAAATCAATAATAACTTTTTTTTAAAAAATCATTTTCTCTGATTATGTCAGTGTGGGGTATAATACCAGCATACATTGTATATATTTTTTAAGACTTGGGTTTCTTTTCTCATGAAAAGACTAATTAATATGAACTTCCTAAATGATACTCACATAGTATCTTCAAATATCCAGGCCTCTTCCTACCCTCTGCTCACCAATACCCAAAAATACAAACTAATAAACAGCCCTTATCCCTGCTGCAAAGTTGCCCCAGATGTCACAGCAAGTTCCTGACAACCCTAATGACTACCATATAGATACAATTGTATAGAAAGTCCTCTGCTATTTACAGATGTATTTATATTACCACTGTCCTTCTCAAGCTAAGCTTATATACTCCAATTTAGACCAAGGCTAGGCCACAAATTAAGTACTGTATATCCTTTCTGGAGTCTAGTAATTAATATAGAATATTTTATATTAAAATAATTATGAGTAATAAAAAAGAACTTACATTTTGCATTAATTTTTTTAATAAAATGTGAGACTTCAAAAAGTAAGCAGCAGGTAAAGCCTATGAAAGCAATCACTTGTTTCCACTGATGGCGCAATGAGTGGGAAAGGTTTTCATGAGCAAACTTGGGAACTCAAGAAAAAAAATGGAGATCCAAGTTATTTAATTTTTACTTCTAAGAGACTCACCTGTAACCTTGCAATCTCTTCTCCAAATTTCTTTTGCTGTTTTGCCAGGATAGCCTGATGGTACTCAGCATTGGCCTGCATGATACAGTGCTTGGCAGCCAAGACAGGGAACACCTCCTGGAAATAAAAATACTGACCAGGGGAGAGTCCAACCACACAAACCACCACAGACAACATGGGATGCAGGAAGAAAAAGGAAAAGGAGACAGAAATTAGAACTACCCCATTAATGGTTTAGAGAGGTTAGTCATTAGGTGTAAACAGAAAAGACCACATGATTTTGCATGGGTTGAATTCAATAATTTCAATTTTTTTTCTTCCAATTAAAATTAAGGGATTTTTTTTAAAACTTTTTAGTGAAGCCAATTAAAATTTTTACAATTCTCTTTAATTGAGACATGAAGTCAACATTTTGTTTACAAAGAAAGGAAAGCATGCATTAGAAAGAGAAGCAGAATGGACAGTCAGAGGAGTAGCAAGCACAAGGCTTTAGAAGCTTTCTTATGAGCCCCTATCCAGCCCTTAGAGTTAACTAAAACCATTACTCACATACACTAATGAAACTGCTCTATAGCTGACTGTTTCATCATGTTTAAAAGACAAAAGACACAGTAAAGTAAGTTCCTACTTATATTCATATCCTGAAGCTTTTTAATAAAGATGATTTTTAGCCACATAAAAATTTAGCATCATATAAAAACTAACATTTCAGTATCATATACTCAAAAACACATAGCAAACAGACAAATGCACTAAGTTAATAACTAATATGATTCAGTGTTATTCTGTCCTTAATCTGTTTTGGAAAAAAATCCATTCAAAATTAATTGTAAAAGAGCCAAAAACATGAACTAGAAAAGCAGTTACATGGGTAGAGGCTCTTCCAAAATGTCAAATCCTAGCCTGCAACCTCATTGTTTTTAGGAAGTACATGTTATATAAAATCCAAGAAATATACTAGACAATCACCATCCAGACAAAAAAAAATAAGAGAATCAAAAATTGAATGACTACCTGTGTGCTTTCCTGTCTCTCAATGAATAATATCATAGCTTCCTGGATCACTACTTGCAGAAATTTCAGTTTTATAACTAAAATATGAAAATATCTTATGAGCTTTATTAGTGAAAAGGGCAAAAATAAAAGACACCTAAATCTCAAACTGCACTCATGCCAGTTCTAAAATTAAGGCTGGAGCAACGTGGTACTTAAACAGGAGAGTTTCAAGGAATACCAGGAATGCTGCAGAGGTAGTTTCCAAGTCTCTGTAGGCAACAGTCTTCTCTTCATGACAAGACTGAATGGCCCAACAGGATGTTACAGAACATTGTGCAGCTGAACAAGAGGTCTTTCCGATGAAAAAGAGGTGAGAGGAGATCCCAAGTCTCTTTTTTAAGAGTAACACTATTAATACCCAAGAGTCCTGGACAACATTCAACTGATCTCTTGAGGTATTTTAAATCTCTAGGAATCTTCACATTGTACATTTTCTGACTAAACTAACATGTTCTGATGAACTTACATGCTTTTTTTACTCCACCACAAAACTGTCTGCAACTTTGTAATTTAAAAAAATTTCTGAATGACTTATCAGTAAACTCCCCTACAAAAGCTCATGTGACAAATACCACATGCTACCATACAAATGAAACAAATTCCTTGAACATTTCTGAAAGAGTAGCTGAACCATACCACATTTCACTCCATCTCCAAGTTCCCCTTCTAACCATTCTAAACTTACTTATCAGTCTAATCACCTGCTTTGTCATTTATAAATGATCATCACTGACTAGTAATTTCAAATGCCACTTCGGAAAAGTTTACATTAAAATAATTAATACTTCCTGCAATAAACATGTGGTTTAAAGATGGTTGTTTTCCTTAGCTGTCCAACAACAGCCCAATTTTCCATCCCAGTTGACAAAACTTAATTCTAATCAAAATACTGGATGAGTTTGTTTAGTTTCCTTTTCCTTTTTCATTATGGCTGCTTTTGTGCTTTAAGATTCATCTTTAAGAAAACAGGACAATAATCAAAAGTGCGAATAATCAACATGCTCAAGTATTCATGCTTGTACCAAATCACCAATGACTCAGAAGTACACAATGCCTTGAATTGATAAAATTATTGGAGATAGATACTCAAATACTTCTGAAAGAGATTTAGCTTGGAAAAACAAGTTTAGTGACGAGCAAAGGCGAAGGCATCCCCTAAATATAAAATAAATTTTCATGCATCTTAAATATTTCTACAAATACATTCTTCAAGTCACTCTCCTAAAATTTCAAAAACCTTTATAAAATGAAATTTTCAACTTGCTTCTTATACGCAAAAATATCCAATATTTCCACATGCAAAACAACCAAGTACATATAAAAACAATAACTGACCTTAGGGAGAGTGTCTTTATACTGACACTGCTTGAAAGCATCACCAAAATAATCTGCAGCCTGATTCGCCAATTTAGCTATGATGGCATCTTTCATTTTATCTGGAATAAAATGTTAAATTGACCGTTATAATTAGAATAAATAAAAATTAATCTTATACATCATGATTATACATGTCTTCAAAAATCCTTATTGATTAAATCAATTTATCTGCATGAAACTTAATTATTCCTCAGGCAACACTAAGAGTTAGAAAATAGTTTGGTGGTTGCCAGGAGCTGGGGGAAAAAGGGAATAGAGAGTGACTGCCAGTTGGGTATGAGGTTTCTTTTTGGGGTGATGATAATGTCCTAAAATAAGGGTGGTAATGGTCACAAAATTCTGAATATATACTATAAAACAATGAAGTATGTACTTTAAAAGGGTAAATTTTACTGTATAGGAATTCTATCTCAATATAAGGTGTTATTTCTGGAAAAAAGATTATTCCAGTTCATATGGCTTCCACATGATGACTGTTCCCTTATTTTTAATTTCTCTGCACTTACATATTCAGCACATATTCCGATCTGTCATACTAACGTACATGCCTTATAAGAATTAATCTTACTCCCTCATTGGCAGAGCCAGGGACTCTGCTAGATGGCTCAATCTTGTCAGTTCTCAATGAAACAAGACCTCCTTCCTCAAAGATGCTCTTCTTGACTAATGATTCTAAAATCAGCATGACTCCCCCTTCATCCTTACCCCACAACAAGACCAAACCACCTTATTGTCTTTATAGAAATTATCTCTCCTTAACATTACCTTAGCTACTTAATTTCTTGCTTATCATCTCCCCCACACTAAAGTATAAGCTTCCTGAAATAAAAAATCTTGTTTGTATCCTAACTCTATTTGTCTGGAGCCTAGAACAGTGACTGGAACATAGAAAGTACCCAATAAATATTTGCTAAATGAATGCATTTTTGACATATTACAAACCTACATAAATATTATTCCAGAGTTCACTGTTTTAAGACAATAGCTAACTATTTTATAAAAGACTTCAAATACAGCTTACATTCTTTTTTTTCTTTTTTTTAATATGTCTTTATTGATTTCAGAGAGAGATAGATAAAAACATCAATGATGAGAGAGTTATTGATCGGCTGCCTCCTGCACGCCCCCGACTGGGTACGGAACCCATGACCCGGGCATGTGCCCTGACCGAGAATCAAACCACGATAGCCTGGATCCTAGGTTGATGCTCAACCGCTGAGCCACGCCCGGCTGGGCTACAGCTTACATTCTTAAATGTGCATTTGTACCACCTTACATTCAGAAAAGGAAAGCCAAAAATTTTCAGTTGTGCATGTGTCAAGTTCAAAGAGAAAAAAGCTCTACACTGAACATGTTATGTTCTAAACGTCTTCTAATTTTAAAAATCTATCACTTCTTTTCACATGTAACAAAATGGAGGACAAATTGCAATTACCTCTTGTGGCCTTTAAAAAAAATACTTCTTGGGCCTGAGCCAGCATAATAAGACTGAGGGTCCCAACAGTATCTGGAGATATGTCCACAGTAGGCTCCCGATTTAAGGCAGATAAAACCGTCTCCTTAATATGTAAAAAGGCACCACTAGCAAACTAGAGGGGAAGAAAAGAATTTCTTTAAATTTCATAGGAACTCAGCAAGACTTAATTTTCCACCGTTACACACAACATCATTCCAAATGTTAGCTCAGTTGAACAGTTACTTATTTAAATTTTTATATTGTGCAAAACAGATCTAAAACATCTGACCTACAAACAATAAGGCTATTTTTCTAAAACACTACAGAGTAATAGGAAATTTAACAAAGATTAAGTCAATTGCAACAAAAAAAGTATGCTAACAAGACAAATTGAGTAAGCTTATTTTTAAATGTACTTCCTCAAAACTAACATAAGAATAGAGTCAAGGATAAAATATTAAAATGTTTTTAGTACTGAAACGCACTTGGTTTAGTCCCAACAAATTCATGTCTCAAATAATTAAACATCCCATACTTAGGGAAACCTCAAATAGTACAGATACCTAGTCCTCTGAGGAACAGCATTACCGTCCATTGCTAATGATTTCTATTTGACTCTCAGAGCTCCTTGTGAAACACTACACATCAGATTTGTCTTCCCAATTATATTTTTCTAAGATTAAAATAACTGCTTTCATGAAACAAATGACACTGAGAAAAAGAAAGAAGTCAGTTTGGGATTAAAAGGTGTTGAAGGTTATACAAATAAGCTATGCAGATATAACAAAAGGTTAACTGTTTCAAGTGAAAATGGTGTTTTCTGCAGTCATGAAATATCATAAAACTACAGTACCTACCGGGAATGATAAACTGACCCTGCTTAGTAAACTAACAGAATCATAGACTAAAACAGCAAGAGATCCAGTCTCTCATTCACAGACATGGAACTGGAGGCCTACAGAGATTAAAGAACATAAGACAGGGCACACAGCTTGTTGGTGGCAAAGAGCCTAGACAAGAATCTAGGTCTTGTCACACCACCAGCTCTCTTTTCATCACTAGGTAACCTGCTGTGAATCACAGTGGTAACTCACACAATGGAATGTGCCCTCAATAATTCAGAATGTCCTCTAAGATCTCACATGCCAATTAACAATTACAATTAACAGAAAACTAAATAAAGTTTTACTTCATTATCACATTTTAAAATATTGGCCATTTATGGCCTCGAAAAGGTATATATGCATTCATGTTTGTCATTTGATTGTATGGCAAGCAACAATGTGGAATACACTGTTTGCTTAAAGCATGTTTTCCTCTCGCTTTCCTAAAACAGCATTCCTCACCTCTCCCCTAAACTTCAACAATGGGAAAAATCAGACTCCACCTCTGAGACAATCAAATTCCAGAGACATGGGAGATACAGGAACGACCATTTGGAATTCCATTAAATTTGCAATCAGGACACATGAAACCCCAATGGACCATTTTATTAACATTTCTGCCATAAAATGAGAATGACATCACATAACATGCATCACAAGGTTCATCTGCGAGTCAAATAACATATATGAAAAAACTCTGTAAATTTTAAGGCAACATAAAATATGAAAACATAATTATAGATGTTACCACTTAATAATCACATATTGTTTAAACTGAAACAAAAAAATGAAAGCTGAGTAAATAATAAACAATTACCACACAAATCATATGCCATATTAGTGATAGTATAACACTGCATATTTTGACATTTAAATATGACCTCTCCACAAGTGTCAGAGTTAAACTTTTCTTGCCAACAGGCCTTAATTTCTGTGACTCTGGTGAAACTTTATATGTGTCTCACTGAAAGAAAAAATATATACAAAAATAATGTACAAAGTTTTTAAATGAGATCATTTATTTAAAAAGTATTTACCAAAGATTTCATCTCATACATTTCATAATTTGTTCTCCCAACATTTATTGAGCCTTTATTATGTGCCAGGCACTGTGCTAGGTGCTGGGTATACAATGGTGAGGGAAAACAGGGCTGGTTTATAGGTAAGTAGTTTATCTAAGAGCCTCAAAAATATAAATCAATTCATTAAAAAGTATACTACTTTTCAAGAAAACATCTGTGTGTAAAGAAACACCTATAAACCTAAATGCAAATTATTTTTAATTTAATCCAACTTAGCGTTTATCATTATGTAGTAACTACTGTTCTGCGTACCTGGTAATGCTTAGCAGCGATTTTCAATCCTTCATCATTATCCAGGTTCTGTTCTGCTGCAATCTGGCTAGCTAAGGCTGCACAATTGAACAACACACAGCTCTTTTCATATCCTAAGCTTGCAAGAGCTGTAAAAAATTGAGAAGGAAAAATTTATCAGATTATTTTTCTAAAGAAAATTAATGTTTCAAAGAGAAATACTATAACCTCTATCCCATTGGCTCTCACAAAAACAAGTTTCCAGACCTGTTTTCTCACCCATAATATGCTCCCATATTTCTAGCTGCCCTGCCAAGCATTTGTTTTCTTAACAATATTCCCATCATCTAAAACTCAACAGATCAATATATTGTTCTTTCCTTCTCTTTACGTCCACACTGTTATTAGGTGCAAAATGAAAAGTCATTCTCACATCATTTCTCACTTAAATTTAAATAAATTCTTTCTATTTTTCCATCACTTAAAGCCAATGCCAGAACCTCCTAGCTGGCCTTTCATGCCTCACTCCCTTATGCCAATATATCTCAGAAGATTAGCAAATTATCTGCTTAAAATACAATTCTGATCATGAATCTAAACACCTCACATCCTTTTAAAGAGCAACTAAAACAAACAAACAAAAAGGGAAAATAACAATTGCTAAGTATGAGGAGAACTAGGAAACATCGTTCAAGGTTGGTGGGTTAGCCGCTGTTGGCAGTTCCTAAAAAAATTAGAAATAAAATTACCATATGATCCAGTAATTCCACTTCTAGGTATCTACCGCAAAGAGCCAAAAGCAGTCTCAAAGAGATATTTGCACACCCTTGATCATACCAGTATTATTCACAGTAGTCAAAAGGTAGAAGAAACCCAAGTGTCCACGAGTGGATGCACAGAAAAAGAAAATGTGATATATACATACACTGAAATATTATTCAGATTTAAAAAGGAAGGAAATCCTGTCACATGCTACCACATGGATGAACCCTGAGGACATTACGCTAAGTGAAATAAGCCAAACACAAAACTATATGGTTCCACTTATACGAGGTACCTAAAGTAGTCAAATTCATAGAATCAGAAACAGAATGGTGATTACCAGGGGCTGGGGAAAAAGGTGAAAAGAAGAGTTCTTGTTAAAGGATACAGAGTTTTAGTTTTGCAAGATCAAAAAGTTCTAGAGATCTGCTCTGGCCAGGTGGCTCAGTTGGTTGGAGCGTTATCCCGTACACCAAAAGGCTGAGGGTTCAGTTCCCAGTCAGGGCACATACCTAGGTTGTGGACTTGACCCCTGCCAATATGACTCTGTCAATAATGTTCAACCTGGATGAACATCAGAGCCACCCGGAGATATTTTCAAAGATACTAATTCTAGTGCCTCACTCTGAAATTTCTTCCTATCACATCTGGCATTCTGTAACTTTACCTTTAAATATATATCTGAATCTTTAACCTTTCCCCAGGTAATTCTAATGTTCCGCCAGGTTCAGAAACCACTGGACTACATGCTCTTTGAAACTCTTCCGGCATTCAATTCCATCTTTCTATTTTCCCATTACCCCTGAGATCTGAAAGCTTTTTCTCAGCCTCATTCCCAGGAATCTCTTCCACTATTTCCCCTGAATGTCGTATTCTCTAGCTCTGGCTTTCACACTTTTCCTAAACTATACTTTACCAGAGGGGATAAGTTTATTATCATTTAACAGTACTTGTTCCCAAATCTACCTCTTTTGAGCTTGAAATCCATTATTTCCAAATGCCAAAGACATAACAAAGAAAACTCAAACTCAACCTGTCTATTGAAAGGAATAAGTGAACAGGTCAAACCAAGTTATAAATCTTAACTGCTACTCTTCCCTCTGACTGATAGCAGACCCAGTCAGTTTCACCTCTGGTATGTCTCTTAATCCCCCCCTTTCTCCTCTGACCCACATATACCCCTTGTCTAATTTCATCCATAATAACTCTCACAAGTCTCCTAACTGCCCTGTTTCTCCCTAGTCTCTGGAGTTAGGCTTTCTGGATTCATATCTCGCTTCATTAAATCCCTGCCATCTGACCTTAAAAGTCACTTAATCTTTCTAAATCAGTTTGCTCAACTGTTAATAACAGTGCCTTTCCTCATTAGCTACTGGGGAGTTCAGTAAGATAGTATGTGTAAAGCCCCTGCCACAGTGCCTGGATGGAGTAAGTACTCAATAAATGTTAGCTATTTAATACATAAGAGGGAAGAATACAAAACACATAAGCATACTATTTACAACTCCTCAAAATCTGCTTTCCAATGTCTTCCCCTCCATAATCCCCAATTCAACCTATGGTTTCAAGTCTTAACAATAATTAATATTAACATGTATTGTATATAATTTATACTGAACAATATTGTTATGTAACAGTATATAGTATATAGTCTATCATACATATGTAGTTCATATCACACATTACCTATGGTTATATATATTATTATTCATTGCAGCTAGTATTTACTGAGCACTGTTCTGAGTTTACAAGTATTCACTCATTTAATCCACACCAGAACCCAATGAGATAAATGGTGCGTCACAGAACTATTCCCCACTTCACACAGATGAGTAAATTAAAGCACGGAGAGGTTATGTGCTGAGCTAGCAGATCTAAAAGCCTCTCTCTTCTGACCTCTGGTTATAATGTTCTACTTATAATGTTATTTTCTATCTGGAAAAAACAAATTCCTCCTTCAAGGTCTAACTGAAACATTGCTTACTTTCAACAGGCAGAATTAACTTCCTCATCCACTCTCCTCTAGGTCGGTTCATAGACTGACCAACTTTCTTCCCAACCAGCCTGAATACAACTGTCTCATCACTTTTATAGCTAGGACAGTGCCTGGCAAGGCATAGGCTCTCTACAAAAATTTGGGAATTGCATTAAAAGTAAAAAGAAAAGAAAATGCAAAAAATTTTATTATTTAAAAAGATACATTAGAAGCAATTTTTAAAACCTAAAACAAAGTGTTTAGACCATGTTTCCTAACATTTTTTATTTAAAAATTACATACCCAACTTTACAGATCCTCCAAAAAGTGAACCTTTATCAAAAGCATCCTTCCAGGTAAATGTCAAGCAGATCTTGATAAAGAGAAAATAGAAAATTATGTTACCTTCTTGGATCTTATTAAATATTAAGTCTCTTTCAAAGACAAACTCACAATGAGGAAAAAGACAAAAGCTTCAACCTGTCTAAAACATTATCTTCTCTAACCAGCCAAGTCCTTTCCCTTTACTGGCCATAATTTTTTTTTTAAGTAAAATACTGGCACTAAGTTATTTCAAATGGTTACTCTGCTTCAGTAACTGTACATATATATTGCCTCCTCCAAAACACATGCTCTCATTCATCTTTATAAACACAAAATGGACTGAACAGAATAAGAACTTAATTGTCAAATAAGCCAAGAGAAGCATAGGTAACAAAGTAAGTACTACAGGTTTCCCAGAAGATAAAACACAAACTATCCCATGACAAAAGCAAGAGAATGCTTATCTTTGATCGATGGGATAAGATCATTTATTTCTTGATTTGGATAGTGGTTATACATGTATATTCACTTTAAGAAGATTCAAGCTATACACATATGTTCACTTTTCTGTATGTATGTTATACATGAGTAAAGAGTTTACTTAATAATTAAAAAACTGCATCTCATGCTTCTAAAATATTCTGCATATAAAAATTCAAAAGAAATTAGCCTCTTTTAAATTATGTGTTGCAATCTAATTTTTTATCTCTAGATTAGAGAAATTTTCAATATATACAAAACTAGTGATAATAACATAATGAACCCCCTCATACCTATCACCAGTTTTTAGCCTTTTGTCTTCTTGTTTCATCTACCACCCCCACTTTCCCTGTCCACCCACCTCCCACCCCAAACACACATATTTTTTCCTGGAGTATTTTAAAGCAAATCTCAACATATTATTTCACCTCTAAAATTTTTGAAGTATTTTTCATAAACTATTTTAAAATTTAGAAATGTCAGAGAAATTAAAAACTTCCAAGTCTCCCAAATAAAACTGTAATAAATCATCAGCATTTTCAATATCTAGCCTTTCAGAAAAAGTAAAGTTGACATACTTATAGTATAACATCCAATCATAACAGCATTTGCAACGTTACATGCAAATATAACTTGTGAAAATAATTTTTAAAGTACATAAACTGAAACTAAAACTTCCTGAATTACACAAACACACACACAGAAGTCACTGAGGAATGACATGAGCAGAATTCAAAGACACAGATTCATATCAGATGGGCCTAAAAGCTTCTAATTTGTATGAAAAAGTCTCACAAAAACCTCAAGACAGTGAAGAGGCACCATTTATTTTAATAAAGTGATACCATGAGTGGGAGGAAATGGATGACTTGCCATTATTATCATATAACTTTACAAATTAAATAAATGACTTACCTGATTTTCAGAAAATGGGAACTTAGGTTCAATGGAACAAATCTGATCATAATATCTAAAAAACAGAGCAAAATTAAAAATTAGCAGAGTTAAATATTATACATTTATGTAAACACAACTGGTTAAAGTGTGTATGAACATTATTCATGCTTACTTTGAGTGGCCCACAAATCAATCAGCCATTTTAAAGTTAATGAACATAATCTTTTAATGTGTAAACCAGGAGCTAAATGCATGCAATGAAAAACTCTGAACAAAAACTCATTCTCCCACCAAAGAAAAATACTCATCCAAGTATTATGAATTAAAAGCAAATATCTAGCCCGGCCGGGCATGGCTCAGTGGCTGAGCATCGACCTAGGATCCAGGCTATCAGGGTTCGATTCCCGGTCAGGGCACATGCCCAGGTTGTGGGCTCGATCCCCAGTCAGGGGAGTGCAGGAGGCAGCCAATCAATGACTCTCATCATTGATGCTTCTATCTCTCTCTCCTTCCCTCTCTCTGAAATCAATAAAGATATATTTAAAAAAAAAAAAAAAAGCAAATATCTAAATAGGAAAACCAAAATATTTCTTAAAATACTATTTATTAGGATAACTGTTTATATCCATTGAGCAAATTAATATCTCTGGTAAACTGCTCATTATTAACAGGTTTGCCAACTTTCAAAGGGGTTTTGGATATGTCCACTTCTGTCCATCTCCACCACTGCCACAGTTTGTCAGCTACTGCCCTCCCTTTATGGTAGACTAATCTAAAAGTTTCCTGGTCAACCTGTCTCATTTTCTCCTTTCCCATTCTTTTTTCTTTTCTTTTCTTTTCTTTTATTTTCTTTAATCCTCACCGAATGACATGTCTTAATTGATTTTTAGAGAGAGAGAGGAAGGGAAGGGGGGGAGAGGGAAAGAGAGAAACATCGATTAGTTGCCTCCTGTATGAAACCCTAGGTATGTGCCCTGACTGGGAATCAAACCCGGAACCTTTTGGAGTACGAGGCAACACTCCAAACAACTGAGCCACCCGGCCAGGGCCTTCCTCATTCTTTTCAATACATTATCTACAGAGCAGCCAGAATGATCTTCAAACACGAAGCAGTCTTCCCATCACCAGGATGACCTTTGAGCTAGCAAACCGGATGAGGTGGTATCCAAAGCCAAGCTTTCCAACTGGCCTCTAATATTTCCTCCTTCCCTTATCATCTCCCACCCCTTCATCAGGGCTATCTTTCCAATGATTATTTCTGAGGTCAAGTTTTTGGAAGAAGGGGCAACGTGTCTGAGATCAAGTTTTTGGTTGGGATGGTCATGAGTTTGGTTACAAACGGAAGAACTGAGCAGTTAAGTAAATACATTGAAGATAACGGGAGCCAGGTTTCTAACTATCAGAGAAAGGAGTTACTAATAAGGGAAGAATAAATGCTGTGGCTTTGGGATGGAACTAGAGGCATCAATGCGAACTGATTTTTTTATATAGAAAAATACAAAAAACAGGTGTAGTGGTGTGTAAGTGTGTATACTTCCTAAATGTGTATGTTGAGAGGGTCCAGAAGCAGTAACACCTAGGTAGCAATAAGCATACCTAGTGCCCAGATAAATAATGCTCTGCATTAAAAGGAGTCAATTCTCCTTAGAGAGATGAGTGACTCCATGACTGAGACTGAGAAAACTGAAGATTCAAGCCTAAAACATCTTGCTATGCCAGGAAGTTAGGTAATATTCAAACAATGATGAGAGCATGCCAAAAGGACACCGGAATTAGCTTTCAGGGGCTAACCATGTTTAGACAATTTAAATAAAATAACAAATCATAACACATTCAGGAAAATAAGAACAGTTCTGAAGTAAATATAATAAACAGATGAATAGAGAAAGCTCTACCCTGCTATATAATGCCAACTAATAAATCTAGAAGGAATAGTGGAGTTATTAGAAAAACCACCGTTTGGCACCTTTCAGAATATAATACCCGACTGAGGTAAGATTCATCAATGAATGCTAAAACATAAAAGTTTGATGGAAACAAGTTACTACATACACAGTCTCAAAGTATCTTCCCACAAAATACTTACTTAGTACAACATACTTATTAATTGTAAGGTTAAGAAACCTGGGAAATACCATCTTAATCAAGTGATAAAAGTTAACATTACCAGCAACAGGACAAATCAAATAATGTTCTTCCTAATATGTACATTATCAGTATCACTTTGATGGCATTACTGCCCAAAAATGCATAAGTCACGAGAAAATATGAGACAAATCCCTACTGAGGAACACTCTACAAAGTAACGACCCTATACTCTTCAAAAATGTCAAGGTCGTAAGGAACTGTTCCAGGTTGAAGTAGACTAAAGAGACAACAATTAAAAGAAACGCAGGATCCCGGATTCGATATGGAACCTATAAGCATTATCAGGAGAATCAACAAAACTTTAATGAATTATGCAGATTAAATGGTAATAGTCAATCAATGTTAATTTCATGATTTTGAAAGTTGTACTGTGGTTATAAAGGACAGTACTCTTATACGTACTTAGGAAAGAAACACTGAAGTATTAAGTGCTCAAACCCTATAATATATTCCCATTATTCTTAAAACTACATCCAAAAATTTGACAAGGTCTGGCATTACCTGGCCATCATTCAACTCTCCAAGCCTCATCTTAGAATATTCACTGTGCATTCTAGTCACTGAAGTCTGTGCTCTCTCCTGGCCCTAGGCTTTCACACATTTTTTTTCTCTGTACCTGGGAACTTTTCCCAGCACAATTTCCCAACTTTCTTGTATAGACTGACAGGTCATCAAAGAAGCCTTTCCTCATGCATTCATTCAACAAATATATACTAAGAGCTTACTATGCAACAAACACAGTTTTAGGGCATAGGAATTCAGCAGTAAATAAACATTTTAAAATGTGTGCCCTCATGAAGCTTACTTTTTGGGGAGGGAAGGAGACGACAAACAACCTAAGTTAAAATATAGTACAGTAGGTAGTGGTAAGTGCTATGGAGAAAAACAAAGAGATGAGAGGGATCTGGTGTGTGTATATCTTTGCATTCTCCACACTATTTGATTAACACATTGTAGCAATATCATTAGCGCTAACATTATCTCAGTATCTTCACCCCCAAGCCAACAATCAGAATGTAAGCAACAGTTGTGAAGCAAAATTGAACAGCAATATTTTCTTTCCTGATCTATAAAGCACTAGTGCTTGAAAAAATTTTCAGAAATTATGAGCCTAGTCCCATCAACTTTATTTTACAGATGAAAAAGATACTTCCACAATGCAACAAACTAAATTTTAACCCACAAAAGGGTGACAAACCTATTTAGAAATTTTACAAAACCTATATAAATGACTCTAAAGTTAAAGAAAACAGAACTAAAATTACAAACTATTAAAAAATATCAATGAGAATACTACATATCAAAACCAGCTGGATGCAGCCAAATGCAGACTCAGAAAAAAATACAGTCCTAAAATAAAACTAGATTCAGTTTTTTAAAGAGTTAGCTGCAAACCTTTAGCACATCTGATCAAGGGGCAAAGTCATATAACACAGGCACAATCCTAGGAATAAGGAAAAAACTGTAAACACAGGTTATAAGGAGAATAAAACATATGTGAGAAAAGATATCACAAACACAACGAAGAGACAAGAAACGGACTTAAAGATTATTTGCAATATACTTAAGGGAAAGGGATCAATTGCCAGAAAAGGTAAGTAACTCCTAAAATTCAGTAAGGAAAAAACTAGCAACCTAGAAAATGGGCAAAGAAAAAAAGAACAGGCAATTCACAGAAAAAGAAACTAAGTGACCAGTAAATGTAAGATGACGGACCTCTGAGAAATCAGGGCACTGCGACCTAAAACAAGGTACCATCTCTCATCCATCAGTTTAGCAAAAAGCAATAATTTGAATTATTAATCAGCAAGTACGTGGAGGAAGGATGTGGACCCAGAAGAATAAAACACTCACATGTACCTGCTAATGAAAATGTAAATTGATACGACCACTGTGGAGAGATGAAAACGCAGACACCCTAATTCACTTAAACAAAGAGATATGAATAAACACCCTTTGCTGCTCCCTCCCAAAATGCCACTAAAAAAAGAAATTAAAATTAAAAAGATGTAAATGCACAAGGATAAAAAGAATAGGAAAGGGCACAACAGAATACAAGAGGTTTCAGTAAAATTTTGTAAAAGGTGAAAAGTGAATAAAGCAGAGAAAGCTGAAAATCTAACTGCCTAGAAGAGGGGGAGCTAACAAAGTATAAGCCTAATCATGTCAGAAGCCAGCAAGAATCTGAATTAAAAAGCCTGAGGTAACACTGAAGACAGGTTTCCCATGAGGCTGGGAAGAGAAAGTGCAGTGGACAATCTGAAACCTTCAGGCTCCCAGAGCCTCTCCGCAGAGAGCAGGCTGACCCACAGGAATGTTAGGGACATGAGGCACAGCTGAGCAGGGAGCAGGGGGCTGAGAAACTACGGCTGGGGGTGCTGCTGTCGACACCACTCTCTCCCCTTCCTTACCAACAAAACCCAGACTTTAGCTGGGTATGTGGCTGCCTTGAATAAAAATCCCTTTCCCTGTCCTACCCCTCTGTGAGATGCAGACACACACAATGGCCAACAGCACATGAGCAGGGTACTGTGGGGCAGTTTCCAGGAAGCTTTCTGGAAGCCGAGCCCTCTGCCTCCTCTCTCCCTTCCTCTATGCCGCTGCCTGAAACTTGGATATGACTGCTATCTGGACCCTAAGAAAAAGAATTCTAGGTTTTACAGAGCAGATAGCTGGAAGGAGCCTGTGCTTGATGAACTTCACAGAACTTTACTAGCCCTGACTACCAGAACTATCAACTTTTTACACAGGAAAAAAAATCATAATTTTTAACTCACTGATGACTTGAGATCTACCACATACAGCTGCATCCAAACCTGATACAGGTGCCACACTATAAAAATAGATGGCATAAAAGACTGCATACAGGATTGCTGAGATCCCCATTATCCATTCCAAATTTCAGAAAGCTGACAACTAGGCTTTTTCATGGAAAGAGACTGCACGCTTTCTCTCTAAAAATACTAAATGCCACAAAACACATGGACGCTTATATCCGGGGCTTCCAAAAAAAACCCAGGATTCCCATCTGATCACCCTGAAGTTCACCATTTACCAAGGCTCTTCTAATCAATTTTTAGTTAAAGCCACTTTATGAAGGATGACACTAACTCTCAATATCACACACATAAATGTGTATTTTAGGAAATTTTAATAGAACATCTCCATGTTAGTAATAATAAAAAGGCAGGTCCATCACCGGACTTCTTTGCAGAGCTGTGTACCAGTACTGACCAAGCTAGCTTCTATTCTTTAGGAATTAGCTTAACCCCTCCTTTTTGAAAATTTTATTTAAAAGTTCATTAGGTTAAATACACATTCAGTTAAATTAGTGTTCAGTTTACACAATTATCCAACGTAATTATTAAAAGATATTTTGCTTGACTAGAATGGATAGCTCACGAATGTTTGACGTTGACAGCATATATACCCAAAAAACTTTTGTACACACCTCCATTATAAAAGGTAATAGACTGTAGTATATCTGTTAGTTTACCCTAACCCCATTAGAAGAGCAAGAAGTGGGGGGAAACAGTAGTTGATAATGAACGATAATATAGCGGCGACTAAAGAAACATGGTGAATTTCAAAGAGGCTATCTGTGCAACAGCCCTGTACCTAGGAACAGTTCTCACACTTATGTCTGGGAAAATAACAAAGGGATAAACAAACACAGCAGAACTCTATCAGTACCACAATCCACTATTCTCTCATGTCTGCAGTCTTAAACCCAAGTATCAATTGTCACTGAAGACTCCAAGCTCCCTAAGGGTTGGGACCAAATCAAACCCTCTAGTCAACAAGATTGTTATCACAGTGTTTATTATACCCATGCTTTTTTTTTTTTTTAAATATCTTTGTTGATTTCAGGGAGAGGGAGAGAGAGAGATAGAAACATAAATGATGAGAGCATCATCATTGATCGGCTGCCTTCTGCACGCCCCATACAGGGGATCGAGCCTGCAACCCGGGCATGTGCCCTGACCGGGAATCGAACAGCGATCTCCTGGATTCTAGGTCAATGCTCAACAGCTCAGCCACGCCTGGCTGGGCATACCCATGCTTTTTTAATATTACTAATGGAAAACCCTCCCTGAACGCTATTCGTGTCTACATAAAAATTGCTTTGGAGATTTTTTTAAAGTTTGTTGATTCTAAAAAAATGCCTAAGTGTTCCCTAGGTTAACTTAAAAAAAAAAAAAAAATGCTCGCACTAAACATCAAGCTAATGATCTTTACAACCCAACAGTCTTATCTTTAAAACTGACACCATAAGAGTCCATAATCTCTCTAAGCAATCTACTCAGTATCCTGCTTTTGGGGAACCAGATCTTCCCCAACCCGCACTGCTTTGATCCCTGGGGGATGGAGAAGTTAAACCAGCTGAGTGACTCAGACGAGGGCAATTAAATATGCACATTTCCCACTATCATAAATGGGCACAAGCCAACCCAATCACAGGTCTTCCACCAGAGCTAAGGAGAAAAAAAACTCTTATGTAAGATCCTGTGTTATGACACTGTAATTACAGTAGACCCATCAGTGGCCATCTCTCCCAGTACAGGAACAAAGCTCAGCTAAGAGGGAATCAAGATGGAGGCAAGAGGATGCCCAGTGATCCCTAAAGCTAAGGACGCAAAGCTGCTAAACTTTTCAGTTACCAGAACAAATAAACTAGTTTAACCTGGGCTTCTCCTACTTACATCCCAATACAACTGCGCTGCTCCCGTTAAACAAGGAGACTATGTTACTCGTAGGAAATGAGATCACGAACAAGGCAGGCGAAAGAAACCTTTCAACTTATAAAGTGCTATAAAAAGGTTCTTCTAACTGGAAAGTGCCATAAGAGAAATTCATTTAAAAAAGCATGAGCTCAATAAGCATCTGCAAGAGAACAAACTTAACTCCATTCTGTGTATACCTGTTTGTGAACGAAGTGATTTTCAGCAATTTATCTCGAACCTTCTACATGTCATTCAAGTTTCATTTCAAATAACTGCAGCGCCTAGCCTTTGGAATTTTCCACCTGTCGTTTGATGATGAAGAACTTAGGAAGATGGCTCATTTCAAGGCGACAGTGTAACCAGTCACACACACATTTTGTCCCAGTGTCCCCAAGTTCCCACTTCCCCGAAGCAATTACTATTTTGAAATCAAAATCTGGCCAAGAAACACAGCCACACACACACGCACACAAAACGGGGGCCGTGGCAGCCCGTTCCTCCGAGGTCCGGGCTCCACCGCGCCCCGGCGGCGGCCCGCGGGACGGCCGGCGCTCACCAGGAAAGAATGCGCGCCACACCT